AGACCTAAAGTTCTCCGAGATGGCCCCTCCACTAGGCATAGGCCCCTGAGCTGAACCCTTTAGGGAGGCAGACCCCGACATAGCTTCCAAGATAAAGGCAAGCCCGGAAATGGTACGTATGTTTGTCGTGGGCGTCCTGAAACGTTCCCTCTAGTAGTCACAGAGTAGACTGCTGAGATATTGCCCTTAACGTGAGTATGCCTTTGACATGGCTTCCAATATATGAGAAGACGGAAGATACAGCCTCTCTGCTCTATGTAAACATTCCGGAGATAGACCTTCCTCCCAGTCTGAGAGAACCTTGAGACAGCCCCTCTGATGGCCGCAGAGGTCCCTGAAGTAGCCCTCATTATCAATGGAGAATCCAGAGATAGCCCCTCTGCTAATTGTGGACCTGGGCAAGCCCTTCCCCACAAGTCACAGTGATTGCTGAGGCAAGACTCTCCACTGGCAAAAGATCCCTGAGATAGACCTTGGAGGATGGGACCCTAGGTTAAACTCAATGAAATCAAGAAATTCCAATATAATTCCTTTTTTGGCTGGGCGTGGTGGCTCATGCCTGTAATGTCAGCACTTTGGGAGGCCGAGGCAGGAGGATTGCTTGAGGCCAGGAGTTCAAGACCAGCCTAGGCAACACAGCGAGACCCCCCATCTCTACAAAACATTTAAAAATTAGCCAGGCATGGTGGTGCATGCCCGCGGTCTCAGTTACTTAAGACGCTGAGGCAGGAGCGATCTCTTGAGCCCAGGAGGTCAAGGCTGCAGTGTGCTGTGACTGTGCCACTGCACTCTAGCCCGAACAACAGAGTGTGATCCTGTCTCCAAAATAATAATAATAATAATTATTATTATTATTCCTTTTCTGATCAGGGATACCTTGAGCTAACTCTTCCCTAGGTCACGGAAAGCTGAGATAGCCCCCTGACAATCATGAAGACATCAGGGTAGTCCCTGAAGAGTATGCAGACACTAGAGACAGCTCCTGTGATGTGGAGAAACCTGAGATATGGACCCTCAACTGATCATAGGGAACTTCGAGATAGCCCTTCTACTCAACTCATAGAAAGTCCTGCCATTGGCCAGGCGCAGTGGCTCATGCCTGTAATCCCAGCACTTTGGAAAGCTGAGGCAGATGGATCACAAGGTCAAGAGATCGAGACCATCCTGGCCAACATGGTGAAATCCCATCTCTACTAAAAATGCAAAAATTAGCTGGGCATGGTGGCGTGCGCCTGTAGTCCCAGCTACGCTGGAGACTGAAGCAGGAGAATCTTTTGAACCTGGGAGGCAGAGGTTGCAGTGAGCCGAGATTGCGCCACTGTACTCTAACCTGGCGACAGAGCGAGACTCCGTCTCAAAAAAAAAAAGAAAAAAAAAGAAAAGAAAGAAAAGCCTGCCATTGCAGGACTATTGATCATGGAGAGCCCTGGTGTGAAGAAACCCTTGAGGCAGACCTCCAGGTAGACTCCATGACATAAGGGGATCCCAGAGCCAGCACTCAACTTGCAAAGAGAGTTGGAGAGCCTTTCTCACAGACCCTGAGATAGCTCCTTGCTGCCAACAGGGATCTCTGATGCATCCTTCCTATATTTCTAGTGCAAGAAAATTCCTAAGAGCCCCTAGGGAAAAGAAACTCCTGAAACAGCCTCCTCAGTGTGGGAAGAACTCCAAGGTCCATAACACAGGATTGATGCCTTCTGATGTAGAGAGATGCCTGAGATAACCGCTGGAGAAGAGAGGCTGGAGGCTGCAGATAGCCCCTTTAGGAGATCATAGAAACACAGTTACCTAGTGAAGTACCCTGGAAGAAAACCACTCATGTGAGGAGACTCATGAAATAACTTACGTGGAGACCCCTGATGTAGACTCCCCCACTAAATATATAGCAAGACCTCTGAGATACTGACTTGGGAACAAATAGCTCAGATACCCCAGTGGAAGGAGAACATCACTGAGGTAGCCCTCAGGGAAGAGAGACCCTAGAGACAGCGTGTCTGGTGTGGAAGAGCTCTGAGATAGCCCCTCAGAGGAGAGTCCAGAGATATCCCTCTGAAACAGGAAGACGTTCTTTTTTTTTTTTTTTTTTAAGACAGAGTCTCACTCTATTGCCCAGGCTGGAGTGCAGTGGCGTGATCTTAGCTCACTGCAACCTCTACCTCCAAGGTTCAAGTGATTCTCCTGTCTCAGCCTTCTGAGTAGCTGGGATTACAGGTCCATGCCACCACGCCCAACTAATTTTTTTATTTTTAGTAGAGATGAGGTTTCGCCATGTTGGCCAGGCTGGTCTCAAACTCCTGACCTCAGGTGATCTGCCCGCCTCAGCCTCCCAAAGTGCTGGAATTACAGGCGTGAGCCACGGCGCCCAGCCAATATGGGAAGACTTCCACAACACTTTGGTGTGGGTTGATTACTCAAAAGGCCCCTGACATAACCCCTAATACCAGGTCACACCCAGCACAGCCTTACTTCTTGGCAATGTTGAGCATCTTCAGTTTCTTCTTCATGCGTGGCCGGGAAGTGGCGGAGACAGAGGTATCCACGAGGGAGGACGTGGATTGTGACACCTGGAAGAATGAAGGCGGGATGGGTCAGTTGCTAATTCAGACCCTGGGGGAGAGGCAGACGGATCCAGGGGGTCTCCATCAAGGAAGGAGCGGTGGTGGAGCCTAAGACGTGTAAATAGGGAAGGGGCGCGGCCTCTGTGTGGTCAGGGCAGACCCCAGGGGTCACGGACTCACCTTCCGCATAATCTTCCGGCCATAGAACAGCACTTTGTCCCTCTTCCGGAACCGATACCGGGGGCCATCCGGGGCTGGGGTTTCTGGGGATAGGTGGGGACAGGGGCACTCCGAGCTCTGTGCAGACTCCACCCTGCTAGAGCTGGGGTACCGCGAACAGACGCCAGCAAATCCCCATCTCTGCCGCCTCGGGACCCGGGCATTTGGGCTCCCCCACCACACAGCCTCCCAAGAGGGGCCCCTCGGGTGCTCACTTGGCACTCGCAGCCTCCGCACCACCAGGAGGATGAGCACGGCCGTGACCACCACCGCCACTCCGGCCCCGATCATCACGCCCAGCACCTGAGGGACAAACGGCACTGGCTGCGCACCGCAAATCCGTCCCGCCGAGACTTCCCCGGGCTCCGGGACGTCCTGGAACCCATCCCTCTCCCCCACCTTCGCCCCCGAGGAGTTGGTAGCCAGCCCGTGACTCGATGTCCCCATCTGCAGAATGGGCCAGTGCTGCTCCCTCCCCGGGGGCGCGACTCTTCCCTGAGGCCCGGCGGCCCGCAGTGCATGCCGGGAAACGTAGTTCCGCCCAAGCGGACGCAGCGTGTTCTCGCCAGATAATGTAATGCGCGCTGAGCACGCCGGCAGTTGTAGTCCCCGTGGCGCCCCACGCCCGCGCCTACCCGGTCCCCGCCCCACCCCTTACCATTCCAGTTTGCAGCGGAGCCTCCATCGGTTGATTCCAGCTGGACTGCCGATCTGGTAGCCCGTAGTCCTGGGAAATCAAGGAGTCGAAGGAATCCGTGCAAGTCGTCAATCTGGGCCCGCCCCTCCCCTGCCTCAAGCCCTGCCCCCAGCTTAAGCCCCGCCCCCGGGGGGGTGAAGCGTCTCCACCTGCCAGGGGCGCGGCTAGAGGGGCTCTGCGAGACTAAGGAATGGAGCAAACGGACCTCCCGGCCCAGGCCAGGAGGTGAGGCGAGTCCCCGGCTCCCTTCGCCTACGCGTAGGGCCTACCAGACGCTCCGCCCGTCCAACCCCACCCCGGGGCCAAAGGCCGACCTGGCACCGACTGTCAGCAGCCTGAAGGCAGGTCCCCGCTGGGCACGGTCCCCTGCACCTGGTGACTTCCTCCCGGGTCACTGCCCTCTGCGGGACTGATCAAGCCTGATCACCCGACCCTCCAGGCCGCACTCCCTACTCCGTCGAACACTGAATGCCCCACCCCAGGAAAACTGGGGCCCGCAAGCCGTGGGGTCCGGGGGTGGGGACCTAGATACCCAGCTCCTGACCCAAGCCTGCCCCCGGGAAGACCCAGGAGCTGGGAGGCACGGGACTACTGTCGGGCATCCGCAAAGGCGTCTGATACCCACGTTTCAGAAGAGTCCTGGGATGCTTGGTGTGGTGTGGGCTTGCAAGGCGCTGCTGGTTTTTGCCAGGGATTTACTATCACGTAGTAGTGAAGTTATGGGGGCTCTATGGCACGGAGCATCACTGGGACTCCGGGACCGATGGTGGCGCCATTGCTGGGAGGCGTAACCAGAGACGCTGGAATTAGTGGGTGGGGATGGGGGGGTCACTGGAAAGTTACTGAGAGATTCTGAGGATTACAGTACTACTGCTGGGAAAACCAGGAGGTGGGTGGGCACATTCCTGGGGTGCTTATGAGAGCGGGCCTGGGGAGGGCGTGCGGGCTCCTTGGAAGATACTGAGAGATGCTGGAACATTACTGGGATTTTTCTGGGAAGCTGAGGATGTTTCTGACACCGCTAGAGTATTAATGGGAATTCGGGGGCCGGGGGGTAGGAATCTCGGAGCCTGCGAGTCGTTACTTGGAAAATTCCTGGGTGGCCTGTCCTCTTTCACCCCAGGGCACACCTGGCTACCGGTGCAGAAACACCTGCCGGGACGTGGGGGGATGGGAACATCAGAGTCTAGAGTTAACAGAAATCGGAGGACAGATGTGGGAAAGCGGAGGCTCGCCAATGACCCTCGAAGGGACACCCCTGCGAGGCCAACGGAAACCCGGACTCACCCAGGGGCGGCAGCCAGGGTCCACTCCGCGCCAACACCGCTAGCGTTCCGCCCGGCTCCGCAGGCGCGGTCCCTTTAAATTATTCACTACAAGGCGCACAGCGGTCCCGCCCCGCCCTCCCCCTCCCCACCCGCGCCACACTTGGAAGGCCGACTGAGGTCGCCATGCTGAGTGCGGCTGAATGAGGCCTTAAAGGGCCTCACACCGCTTAACGCAAGGACTGCTCCTCCCGCTAAAAATGAGAACGACACATTTATTTTCCCTTTTATTCAACACCCTCCCCACCCTGTCTCCCCGCCCCCAAAGGTCCGACACGAAAGGTCCAGGCCCTCCTCGGGCGCGACAGGGAGCCGATCCTTAAAAGCAAACCCTAAAAATAAATAAGCGGGGTGGGGGACGGGGGTCTCCGCAGTCCAAGGCCTATGGTCCAATGGCAGTCAGGTCGAATCAATTCACCAGCAGCGAATGCTCCTCCGAGGGGTCCCTGGAGGAGGGAAGCAGGGATGAGGGGCGTCAGTTTTCTCTGGCTTGCTCCCCTTTCCCCAGTCCCTAACCCCCAATCTGAATGGGCCAGACTCGGGACTCGAACCTTCCGCAGCAGCAGAGAAGGCTGCAGGCTGAGCCGCTCCCGCGGCGGAACTTGCCAGAGGTGGGACTGTCCTGGCACTGTGCGATGTAGGCCTGCAGCTCGCTCTCCTCTGCGCCTGCGCCGCCAGGATGCTGGGGAGAGAAGCTGGGAGGCTCAGCCTGAAAGTGGCTCCCAACCTCCAAGGCCCTTGAAGTCCGCCCTCCCCTCCAGCCATATCTGCATCGCTTCCCACCTCCAGGCCTTTGCACTTGCTGTGCCTGCTCCACCCGTTGTTCCATAGTTTGCTTGCAGAGAGAGACCTTCCCTGACCCCTGAACGTGGATGCAAGCTGTGTCTTTGCCAGTCTGGTGCCCTCTGCTATGGGCCCAGCAGCTGGAGACCTAGAGCCAGGGCTGACACGACCTCGGTGGTCAGAAACCATCTATTGAGAGAGCTGGATGCACACTAAGCACAGCCGTGGGAGCAGGACCTGAATCTGCCCACCAGAGTGGATGCCTGTGTGTGATGTCTATGTGCTAAGGCAAGACAGGAAGTAGCTCCAAGGGCCTGAGTGAATGTCTGTGGGACAGCTGAATCCATGCCTGGGAAAAGGGGGTGTACCCATCTGCTGGTGACATTGGATGTGGCAGGGGACCAGCCAAGGTTTCCTTCCTCTCACTCAGCCTCATGGAGGGACCATCTTTTCTCCAAGTTTTTTCAGGCTACTAGACCTTTGCTTTAGCTATTCCTTCCCCCTGGGTGCACTGCCCCTGGGCTCCCAACTCTTTGGTCTAGAGACGATGGAAGTGTTCAATATCTATGCTGTCCAATATGGCAGCCACCAGCCACACTGGCTTTTGAGGACTGGATACACGATGGTGCGAGTCAGGGGCTGAATTTGCAATTGTGCTTCATTTGAATTAAAATTTTTTTTTTTTTTTTTTTTTTTTGAGACGGAGTCTTGCTCTGTCGCCCAGGCTGGAGTGCAGTGGCCGGATCTCGGCTCACTGCAAGCTCCGCCTCCCGGGTTCACGCCATTCTCCTGCCTCAGCCTCCCGAGTAGCTGGGACTACAGGCGCCAGCCACCTCGCCCGGCTAGTTTTTTGTATTTTTTAGTAGAGACGGGGTTTCACCGTGTTAGCCAGGATGGTCTCGATCTCCTGACCTCGTGATCCGCCCGTCTTGGCCTCCCAAAGTGCTGGGATTACAGGCTTGAGCCACCGCGCCCGGCCGAATTAAAATTTTTTAAAAATTGTTTTGTTTTGTTTTCGAAGCAGAGTCTTGCTCTGTCACCCAGGTTGGAGTGCAGTGACTTGATCTCGGCTCACTGCAACCTCTACGTCCCCGGTTCAGGCAATTCTACTGCCTCAACTTCGGGAGTAACTGGGATTACAGGTGCGTGCCACCACGTCCGGCTAATTTTTTGTTATTTTTAGTAGAGATGGGGTTTTGCCATGTTGGCCAGGCTGGTCTTGAACTCCTGACCTCAGGTGATTCACCCCCCCCTCTTGGCCTCCCAAAGGGCTGGGATTACAGGCGTGAGTCACCGTGCCCAGCCGGAATTAAAATCAAAATTTAAATAGCTGCATGGGGCTAGAGACTAGTGATGGATAGAACATTCGAGAAGCTCTCCTGGACCCACTCTCATACCAATCTAAAGCAGGAGTCCCTCTGTAACCTTCCACTCTTCCATCATACCTGTTACAAGTAGGTCATTGGTCATGGGATGTCTGTTCCTGTGCCATCCTTGCCCACAGGCCTTGGACAGATCATGCACACCTGATTTTCCTCGATGCCCAGAACCCAGCACAGATCTTGGCCCTTGGATATATTTGCCGAAAGAATCCTGTCTACCTGCCACTTCCGCATCCTGCTGTGTCCCCTGACCCCTGCAGCTTGCAAGGAAACCACTGTTCCCAGCCACCCTACTAAACAGAGGACAGAGGGGTTAGGAGCATGGCTTCTGGAATCAGACAGTCCTGGGTTGAGCCCATTTTTACTGCTTAGAAGCTAACCTGGGCCAGGCACGGTGGCTCACGCCTGTAATCCCAGCACTTTGGGAGGCTGAGGGGGGTGGATCACCTGAGGTCAGGAGTTTGAGACCAGCCTGGCCAATATGGCAAAACCCCATCTCTACTAAAAATACAAAAATTAGCCAGGCACGGTGGCGGGCGCCTGTGATCCCAGCTACTCAGGAGGCTGAGGCAGGAGAATCGCTTGAACCGGGGAGGCAGAGGTTGCAGTGAGCTGAGACTGCATCATTGCATTCCAGCCTGGGCAACAGAGTGAGACTCCATCTCAAAATAAATAAATACATAAAGAAGCTAACCTTGGGCGGGGTCAGAGGGAGTCAGGGGCATGGCTGGGGGCTGGGGTCAGGGTGGGGGTTTTAGAGGTCAGCTGTAGGAATGGGGCCAACTGAGGGTCACCATGTTAATAGCAAGGTCCCAGGGTCAATGACAAGGTCATTGAAACTCTTATGACTTAGCCGGATGCAGTGGCTCATGCCTGTAATCCCAGCACCTTGGGAGGCCAAGGCAGGTGGATCACCTGAGGTCAGGAGCTCGAGACCAGCCTGGCCAACGTGGTGAAACCCCATCTCTAGTAAAGATACAAAAATTAGCCAGGTGTGGTGGCATGTGCAAGTAATCCCAGCTACTCAGGAGGCTAAGGCACGAGAATCGCTTGAACTCAGGAGGCGGGGTTGCAGGGAGCCGAGTTCATGCCATTGCACTCCAGCCTGGGCCACAGAGTAAGATTCCATTAAAAAAAAAAAAAAGGCCGGGCGCGGTGGCTCAAGCCTGTAATCCCAGCACTTTGGGAGGCCGAGACGGGCGGATCACGAGGTCAGGAGATCGAGACCATCCTGGCTAACACAGTGAAACCCCGTCTCTACTAAAAAATACAAAAAAAAACTAGCCGGGCGAGGTGGCGGGCGCCTGTAGTCCCAGCTACTCGGGAGGCTGAGGCAGGAGAATGGCGTAGACCCGGGAGGCGGGCTTGCAGTGAGCTGAGATCCGGCCACTGCACTCCAGCCTGGGCGACAGAGCGAGACTCCGTCTCCAAAAAAATAAAAATAAATAAATAAATAAATAAATAAATAAATAAAAAAAAAACTTGGCTGGGTGTGGTGGCTTATGCCGGTAATCCCAGTGTTTTGGGGGCTGAAGTGGGAGGATCGCTTGACCTCAGGAGTTTAAAACCAGCCTGAGTAACATAGTGAGACCCTTATCTCTAATAAAATAAAGAATAATACAATAATAATAAAATAAAATAGGCCGGGCATGGTGGCTTATGCCTGTAATCCTAGCACTTTGGAGGCAGTAGATCACCTGAGGTCAGGAGTTTGAGACCAGCCTGACCAATACGGTGAAATCCCATCTCTACTAAAAATATAAAAATTGGCGGGGCGCAGTGGCTCAAGCCTGTAATCCCAGCACTTTGGGAGGCCGAGGCGGGTGGATCACAAGGTCAGGAGATCGAGACCATCCTGGCTAACATGGTGAAACCTCGTCTCTACTAAAAATACAAAAAACTAGCCGGGCGTGGTGGTGGGCGCCTGTAGTCCCAGCTACTCGGGAGGCTGAGGCAGGAGAATGGCGTGAACCTGGGAGGCGGAGCTTGCAGTGAGCCGAGATCATGCCACTGCACTCCAACCTGGGCGACACAGTGAGACTCCGTCTCAAAAAAAAAAAAAAAAAAAAAATATATATATATATATATATATAAATTAGCTGGACATGGTGGCATGTGCCTGTAATCCCAGCTACTCAGGAGGCTGAGACAGAATTGCTTGAACCCGGGAGGTGGAAGTTACAGTGAGTCAAGATCGCACCACTGCACTCTACCCTGGGTGACAGAGCGAGACTCTGTCTCAAATAAACAAATAAATAAACTCTATGAGTCGGTTGCCCTGTTGGTAAAGGCAGACTCAGGCCCCCTCCTGGCCCAAGCCCGCCTTGACAATGCTGAGATGCCATCAGCTCCCCCTGCGCTCCCAAATTCCGAACCACCCTCTTTTTGGTTTCATAGAGTCTCCCATATTCTCTCCTGGGGTCTTCTCTGCTCACCCCGCGGTGTCCCCAAGACGCCCTCATGGCAAACTCCAGGGGACCCAGAGCCTGAGCTGGGGGCTGGGCGCGTGCGGCTAACCTTGATGGTGTCGTAGGCACCGGTGATGAGCGCAATGAAGAGGCTGAGCACCATGTAGATGAAGAGGCTGATGAAGGAGTACAGGTAGAGCTGGGAGAAGAGCCACACCAGGCTGCTGCGGCCCTGCTGAGCCTGCATGGCGGCGAACGTCACGAACATGTCATCCCCGTTGATGAGTGAGAACAGGCACTCGGACACCATGGAGAGCGAGCGGAACTGTCAGAAGGGCGGCGGGGTCAGAGGGAGCCAAGGCATGGCCAGGAGCCGGGGGCTGGGGTCAGGCTGGGGTCCCACGTGAATGGCCGAGTCCCAGGCTGGGGTCACCTTGTGAGTGGCTGGGTCCCAGGCTGGGGTCACCATGTGAATGGCCACGTCCCAGGCTGGGGTCACTATGTGAATGGCCACGTCCCAGGCCAGGGTCCCATGCGAATAGCCAGGTCCCAGGCTGGGGTCACCATGTGAATGGCCAGGTCCCAAGGTCAATGACAGGGACACAGGGCCGTCCTAGGGTCTGGGTAGATAGAGCAGAAGGGGAGTAATCCAGGTCGAACTAGGGTCATCAGCAACTGTGACACAGGGTCAGTGTCAGGGTCACCAAGGACCACAGGGGACAGTGGACAGACTCCCAGCAGTTACCGAGGGGTCATCTGGGGGTCACAGTGGCAATGACAAGGTCACGGGGTCGATGTCAGGGACATCAGGGGTTAGACGTACCTTCACATGATAGGGTCCCAGCACGATCCAGCCACAGAAGCAGTAGCCCAGGTAGATGACGGCGACGCAGCAGCAGAAGCGCATGACGCTGGGCAGGGCCACCCGCAGTGTGGCAATGAGGATCTGGGTTGGGGCAGAGGGAGCCTTGTTGAGGGTGTGGTCACAACTCAGGTCAGCTGTGGGCACCCAGATGGGGGTGAGAGGGGCAGGGCCTTGCCGAGGGCACAGCAGGTGTGGCCATGGGAGCCAGTGGGTGCCTAGAGGGGTTGTGGCCGTGTCTGAGGGGGTCTGAGGGCACCGCATGGCTGGACTCAGCAGGGTGGGCACACAGGAGCAGGCTCCCGGGGCCCCGCCCAGGTACAGCGACAGATATATCTGGTGTGGGCAGGTATGAGGCGGCGGCTTGCAAGCGGTCATTGGTCGGGGCTGGTGAGTGCTGGCTGCGTAGGGATTTATTTGGAGGGTGTGGGGTAACCATGCGGAAGGCCCAGCCGCGTGCGAAAAGCTCACGTTGTAGTTGTGGAAGAAGGTCAGGTAACGGATCACGCCCACCCACACCAGCAGCGTCGAGGTGCCCAGGAGGATGCTGCAGACGTCGTAGCTCGCCAAGTTCTGCGGGTGGGAGCTGCATCAACCTACCTGGCCCAGCCCTTCCTTTGGAGGGCCTGGGGGAGGATATAGCCCTGGATAGGCACTGACAGCAGGGATGGGACCTGGGGCCCAGGGTGTGGGCAGGACGTACCTTGGCCTCGATGCCAATCTTCATGATGGTGCCCGAGATGGTGAGCACATCGCTGGTGACCAGCAGGATGTACCAGCCATTGACAAATTCCAGCCGCTCCCACAGGCTGATGACCCGTCTCCGCTGCCGCCACATGAACCCCACAAACTCCTGCAGAAGGCAGGTGGGGTGAGCGCCTGACCAGGCACAGGACCCTTGAAGCCCTGGCTTTTATCGCCCCAGGGCAAGGCGGGGAGGACACCGGCACACGTGACGCAGGAGCCTCACGTTCTGCAGCAGGAAGCCTCGAAGGAGCGAGCGGGCGCAGAGGAGGAAGGACAGGGAGCAAGTGAGGATGACCACCACGTCAAACAGGAGCCGGAAGCTGTTGTCTCCTGTGGGGAGGGCACAGTGGGTAGGGCCAAGGGTAGCATGGAGCCTTGGGAGGCCAGCGCTGGTGCCAGGCCAGGCTGGAGACCTAGGGGGCTGCACGGCTGGTTTTGGTTGGTCAGTGGGGCTCAGGGCTTGCTTGGGGTGAGTCAAGAACCCCAGGTCAGCGCTGGTCTGGGGCTTGGAGGATCCCAGGACAGGACAGGGTCCCTGATCTGTACTGATCTGAGGCTCAGAGGATTCCTAGGGAGGTCAGGGCCCCAGGCAGCGCTGCTCTGGGGCTTGGGGAATCCCAGGACAGGCCAGGGCCCCTGGTCAGCGCTGGTCTGGGGCTCAGGGGCTCACCGTGCCGGAAGACACTGGGGTGCTTACACTCCTGGATGTGGGCCTGGGTCTCCAGGCTGATGGGGATCCGCCCACTGTGTGCTTTGTTGTCAAACGTGATCTGTGGGGGCCAGTTGGGGGCAGAGTAAACCTTGGCAGCCCCAAGCCCCAAGGTCCACATGACAGGTGGCCTGACAGACCCCGGGCTCCCTCCCTCATCACCCACACGCTTGCCCTTGGCCAATGCTTCCAAGACACTCCCTGACCAGGTCCCTGCCCTGGAACTCAGGAGCCCTGTGGGTCCCTGGGGGGCCTCACCAGGACGCTGAAGGTATAGCAGTCCGGGATCTCGTTATTGATGAGGCTCTGGAGGTTAATGGTCTTCAGTCGGAAGTGGATGGTGACATTGACCAGCCTAGGCAGGAGGCTCGGGTGAGGGGCAAGGGCGTCTTCAGGTCCTTTCCGGCCCCAAGTGCCAGCGCCCCTGCCACGTGCTGACTCTGCAGCTGGTAGGGGAAGTGCTCACCCAGCAGGTGCCAGCGCAGGCGGGGGGCCCTGTCCCACCTTAGGGAAGTAGCTACTGGGGTGAGAGTGCCTAGTGTGCTGCCTCCCCCACCCTGGGCCCCCCTCGAGCGAGCAGGCAGTACTTGTGGAATTTGAGCGTGAGGTTCTTGTAACTGGAGCTGCCTTCCAAGAGGGCGAGATCGTCACTGGGGGACGGAGGGGGCCGCTCGGGGGGATCCACCTGGATGCAGTCTGAGGACAGGGAGTCAGGGAAGGGCCTCAGGGGGCAGGGGAGGCCAGGCTGGTCTCCCCGGAGTCCCCAGTGGCCTGCTTTCCTGTGCTTCCCCAGGGCTGGGTCATTCCTACAGGCCTGACACTCTCTGGGACCGCGGCTATTTACTGAATGGACCATATTAAGAAATAAACGTGGTGCTTTCTACGTGGCAAGAGTCACATTCACACTAAGCATACTTTTTTTTTCTCTTTTTTTTTTTTTTTTTTTGAGACAGGGTCTCACTCTGTCACCCAGTGTGGAGTGCAGTGGCATGATCATAGCTTACTGCAGCCTCAATCTCCCGGACTCGTGATCCTCCTGCCTCAGCCTCCTGAGTAGCTGGGACCACAGGGGCACGCCACCACGCCCGGCTAATTTTTTTGTACGTAGAGACAAGGCTTTCCTACGTTGCCCAGGCTGGTCTCAAACTCCGGGCCCCAAGCAGTCCTCCCTCCTCAGCCTCCCAAAGTGCTGGTATAGGCATGAGCCACCGTGCCCAGCCACAGCTGTTGATTTTAATCCCAGCAGCTCAGGCCCCAAACAGTGAAGCCCCACCCTGCCCACTCACCAGTAACCACCATTGGATCAATGTCAAATGTGTCGTTGGCCGGGTCCACATGGCCTCGGTGGTAGTACCGCTGGCAGAGAGCAAGCCCTGAGCCATTGGTCCAAGGGTCACCCCCGCCATGGACATACGCATACCGGCCCAGTGACACGTCAGGCAACGCCAGGTACTGTGGGCAGAGAAGGGGAGGGCCTGTGAGTCCGGCCCACTCTCTGCAGCCTGCGCACCTGCACCTGCCCGCCCACCTGCACCTGCCCGCCCACCAGCACCTGGTCCACAGCATGGAAGATGGCCTGGTACAGCTGCTCCTGCGTGTAGGCTGCGAAGGTGTCATCCGCCCCGTCCGAGTAGCCCAGCAGGAAGAGGTGTCGGAAGGCAATGGTGTTCTCTTCCCGGAATGTCACAGCCAGCTGATTACTGAGCCCAAACAGGATGAGCTGGGGAGAGGGTAGCGGAGGTTGGCATGGCTAGGATGGGGATTGGGGGATATCTCCCTTGGGGCATAGGCAGAGGAAGAGGACAGGGAGGGCCCTAGAGATGTCCACTGGTGGGGGCAGGGCCCTGCTAACTTGGGCCACAGACACGGATTTCACTTGTGCATTTCTTTGCTTTAATTTCACCCCAACTCCTGGCATAAGCTCCATGTCACGCCGACCACTGTGTCCTCCCCCATACATCACAGGATGGGCACTCATATATATCACTGCAGGGACTAATGTCCATTAAATGTTTACTGGATGTCGGATTCTGTGTTAAACCCAAACTTTCAGGGTAAGTACCATGACTGGATTCCTTTTCTTTTCTTTCTTTTTTTTTTTTTTTTTTTGAGATGGAGTCTCGCTCTCTCGCCCAGGCTGGAGTGCAGTGGCACGATTTCGGCTTACTGCAAGCTCCGCCTCCCGGGTTCTCACCATTCTCCTGCCTCAGCCTCCCGAGTAGCTGGGACTGCAGGCACCTGCCACCACACCCAGCTTATCTTCTGTATTTTCAGTAGAGGCGGGGTTTCACCGTGTTAGCCAGGATGGTCTCGATCTCCTGACCTCATGATCCGCCCGCCTCAGCCTCCCAAAGTGCTAGGATTACAGGTGTGAGCCACTGTACCCAGCCTTTTCTTTTTTTCTTTTTTTTTTTTTTTTGAGACAGAGTCTCACTCTGTTGCCCAAGCTGGAGTGCTGTGGTATGATCTCAGCTCACTACAACCTTCACCTCCCAGGTTCAAGAAATTCTCCTGTCTCGGCCTCCTGAGTAGCTGAGTTACAGGCACCTGCCATCACACCCAGCTAATTTTTGTATTTGCAGTAGAGACGGGGCTTTGCAATGTTGGCCAGGCTGTCTGAAACTCCTAGCCTCAAATGATCCGTCCACCTCAGCCTCCCAAAGTGCTGGGATTATAGGCATGAGCCACCATGCCTGGCCAATTGGGTCCCTTTTCCGAGGGAAAATTAGAGGCATGGTGACACGCTAAAGTCAGCCCAAGACATGAAGCAAGCACTTAGAGCAGTGGCTGGGTCTGATTCATCTTGGGGCTCCCAGAGCCCAGCACAGGGTCTGGCATGGGGAAGGGAGAGCCAACTGTCTGTGCAGCCAGTGGGTCAACATGGTGTCAGACTGCCTGGGTTCAAATCCCAGCTGCCAATGTTCTGTTGCTGTGTGACTTTGGACAAGTCTCTTAACCTCTCTGAGCCTCAGAGGTAGCTTTTTTTTTTTTTTTTTTTTTGAGACAGAGTCTTGCTCTGTTGCCCAGGCTGGAGTGCAGTGGCACGATTTCAGCTCACGGCAACCTCCACCTCCCAGTTCAAGCGATTCTCCTGCCTCGGCCTCCCAAGTAGCTGGGATTACAGGCACCTGCCACCATGCATGGCTAATTTTTTTTGTATTTTTAGTAGAGATGGGGTTTCATCATGCTGGCCAGACTGGTCTTGAACTCCCAGCCTCAAGTGATTACCGGCCTCAGCCTCCCAAAGTGCTGCTTTAAGACGCTTCTTCAAGAAGCACAGCAGCCACAGGTGGCCTTCGGCTGGGGCCCCTGCTTGGCTGTCCTCACCTGCACCGTGACCACCAGGATCTTGACCACCTGCAGCATCAGCTTGCAGGGCTTGCGGCCCTTGGCTCGAAACTTGTCGCAGGGACTCATGAAAAAGTATTTGAGACGACGGCGAAGGTCTTCCTCTTCTGGGGGTGTCGGAGGGGCCGGCGAAGGCCCCACCTGGGTCCCATACCCGGGGTTGGGGGTCAGAAGCCGCTCGGTCTCTGTGGGAATAGGAGAGGGTGCTGGGGTGAGGGCTGGGCAACTCCCCTTTTCCCCTTTATCCAACCAGGAAGGCAGCACACACCCTATCTTCATGTCCCCATGCTCCTGCCAAGGAAGAGTTCTGAGAGGTCTAAAGAAAACCAGAAAACCTGCAACGTTGTCTGTATCTATGCACCAGTCCTGCTCAGAGGTTATGAGCTGGGGTTCAGGAGGTACAGGGCCTGGGCTGATTCCTGCCCCTCCTGCTCACCAGCTCTCTGAGTCTCAGTTTCCTCATCTGCAAAATGGGGTAGTAATCATGTCTCATGGGAACGCTAAGGACTGGATGCTTATGAAGCATTGATCACAGGGGCCGGTCCATGGTGAACGTCAGAACGTTTCATCAATGTTCTCGTTACTGATCTGTGGGGAGAGAATGAACTGCTCCCACCGGCTTTTCACTGGGCATCCAAGGCTCCTGGGCTCATCCCAGCTCCAGGTTCCGGACATGAGCATAGAACTCAGCCTGTATTCTAGGTTTGTCTGGACAGATACCCAAAAGATGACCTCTGGGTTCATTATAACCTGGCCTATCAGCTGACACTCTCAGAAGCCAAAGACCTGGAGAAGGGGTAATTGACAATGTAAGTAATAATAATGGAACACATTTGCTAAAGACTCATTTTATCTCCCTGAAAAGCACTAGCTCCTGGAAATCATGCAGCCCTAGCATCAAATCCTAGACCTGCCACTTTCCAGTAGGGTGACTCCAGGTACCACCCTGAGCCTCCATCTCCTCATTTGAAGAGTGGAAATTTTATAAAGGCTACCCCTTGGCTGGGCTCAGTGGCTCATCCTGTTATCCCAACGGCTTTGGGAGGCCAAGGTGGGATGATTGCTTGAGCCCAGAGTTTGAGACCAGCCTAGGTTATACAGCGAGACCTCCCTCTCTACAAAAAAAAAAAAAAAAAAAAAAAAAAAAAAAAAAAAAAATTTAAATAGTCAGGTGTGGTGACAGCTCATGCCTGTAGTTAGTAGCTGGGACTCCTTCTACCTGGGAGGCTGAGTTGGGAGGTCACTTGAACCCAGGAGTTCAATGTTACAATGAGCTAGGATTATGCCACTGCACTACAGCCCGGGTAACAACAAAAAAAAAGTCTCAAAAAAAAGTCCACCCTCCCCCTGAGCCCTGAGGTTGAGATCCTGAAGCTGCTCTGAGAATTCAGTGAGACACAGCAGATAAAGACCTTTCCGCAAACACAAGCTGTTCTAATCACTATTTTATTTTTTTTCCAGCCTAACTGTGAGATCTAAGGTTTCAGCAACTGCTGGAGTTCAAACCGGTCACAGTAGCCCAGAACTCCCTGTCACACCCCCATGGGGATGTGCTTTCTAGGGCCTGGCCCCCTGCCTAGCAAAGCTGTCAGGATAAATGTGTGCACTGTCAGAACCTCCCATGCAGAGAGGGACAAGTTCCCGGCCCCTCCCTTTGTAATGGGATGCTGCTGTGGCTGTTTACCACAAAGTCAGAGAGCAGGGCCCGCCTACAGAGCTGAGATTACAGCTAACCCACCCCAGACCCTACTAGCTGGGACCCCGGGACACCTATCAGGTAGGTGTCCCCAGCTAGCTCCAGAAGGGGAAGCTAACACAAGGGGTCTTCCTCTAGCCTCCCCGAGAAGGGGTGGCATCAGAATTGGCTGGAAGCCCGAATTTAAGAAGGCTGCGCTTCCCCAGGTTTGCAAAGCTAAAACTGAGTTAATCTCCTGGGAGTAATCCCTCCAGCTCTCCCCGCTTGAGTTTAGGGTAGCTGAGCATTTGTCTCCTGGAATCGGGAGGGGAAGGCTGGGAGTCTCACGCGCGGGTTGGAGAAGCTGGTGCCCGCTGTCTGAGTTCCAGCCGAAGTTGAGCAATCGGAACCTAGGCTCCCAGTGGAAATCCCAGGAACCTCGCCGCCCCAAAGGGAGAAGCTGGCGGCCCGGCGCGATCGCTGCTTGAGTTTGGGAACCCAGCATAGCCTGGCTTCAGGAGGGAGAATCGGAGAGGCTGGTGCCCACCCGCCGCCCAAGTTCTAGGAGCCGTCTGCCCATTTCTCCACCGTGGGGAGGCTGAAAAGTCAGCGCTGGAGCTTAGAAAAAAAGAGACTGGGAGCTCCGCCGCCCCAGGTCGGAGAAGCAGCCCGCCCGCCTGAGTTCCGGGCCCCACGGTGCCGCCCGCGCCCTCACCTGAGCCGCGCGGACCCGCCGGGTCTGTCATGCTGGGGCGGGTGCGCACGACGCAGGCGGGTACCGCGGGGCAGCCTGGGTCCGATCGCCCGCCGCTGTCACTGCGACCTCGCTCCCTCGCGGCGCGGCTTCAAACCCTCCGGCATCAGCTGATCGGTGCCTCGGTCACGTGACCCCGTAGCCCAGGGCCCCTCACGTGACCGCCTCTGGTCCCGCCCCCTGCGCCACGACAACGCCTGCCGGAACAGCGCGCATGCGTGCCTCGACGGGCGCCCTCTGGGTCGAAGGCAGTCGCCAGGTCCTAGCGCCGACGTGCTCTGGGTGGCGGGGGATGGGCTGACTCTGAGCTTGGCAGCGACGAGCTCCGCCCTGGCTCCCGGCCGTCCCCCGAATCCGGTGCCAGGCTCGTGACTTCCATGTCCAGAGCTTGACCCCTTATCCTCGTTGGTGCCTGGTGATGACCCTGCGTACTCTCTCAACGCTTTCTTTCTCCCAGAAACTCCTTTTACCCTTCTCCTGCGGATCTTCAGCAAACACGATTTCCTAATTATGTATCAAATAGAACCACTTATCCCCACCCCTATGGCCCCCAGCCCAGAGTCTTCCAACATTCCTGGCCTGGATCTTTGCAGCAACCTCCTCCCCGATCTCAGCCTCCCTCCACTCCACTCTCGGCCCAGCAGCCACAAGCATCTTCAAAGAATACTGCCTATCCGTCCTGCGAGAACCTGCCCTCGGCTTCCCATTGCTCTGGACTGACAGGCAGAGTCCCCACTCTCGTCTATCAGGGCCCTCTGATTTGGCCCCTACCTCCACCCAAAGCTCATCTTTCTATAGTGCCAGAGCCTTTGCAAACTTTTGCCCTGGAGCGTAATGGTTAAGAATTTGGACTCTGGAGGGCAATTGGGATTTAAATCTAGGCACTGACAAATGCCACTTCTACATCTTCCAAAGTCCCTTCAACTCCAAGCTGAGCGCAGTGGGTGGTGGCATGCACCTGCAATCCCAGCTACTCAGGAGGCTAAGGTGGGAGGATCGCTTGAGCCCAGGAGGTCGAGGTTGCAGTGACTATGACCACACCACTGCACTCCAGCCTGGGCAACAGAGCAAGACTGTCTAAAACAAAACAAAACAAACAAAAAACATATACATATGTGCCTCAATTTTCTCATTTGCAAAATGCGGAGATTCAATCAAAGTCGTCTACCTCCTGGGACTGTTGAGAAGATTAAATGAGAGAATGCAAAAGCTATTGCATAAGGCTGGGCAAACAGTACTGATTATTAAGTTAGTGATTATTGGGATTATAAAATCCTTCATTGAGAAAACTGCCTACCATTTATATCAGAAGTCTTGTTATGCTTCTCCTAGAATATACCATACCCTGTAATTATTTTTTAAGTATTCTGGATTTAATATCTGCGAGCTCCGTGCAGGTCGAGGCCATACTTATCTTGTTCCCTGCTGAGACCCCAGCAATCCAGAGATGTTTGTTGATTGCGTACATGAGCAGCCTCTTTTTGTCCACTTGTGTGCCTACTGTGTGGGCTTTGAAGAGCAAGGGGTAAGTGAGGGGAACAAAGAGTGGTGACTAGTGGGATGGACCAGGGTGAGGCATTGTGGGTTAAACTGGAAAGTCTAGCTGGTGGGACTCCAGGGCCTAAGAAGGAAGCCAGGACACTGGAGCTCCAGATCGTGGCTGGCCCTGGCCACACTGTCCCATCTCTGGAGCAAGGGGCTGTGCTCAGAAAGAAAGCACAAAAGGCAAGCCACGACACAGAAGCCGGAGGCAGTGGGAGGATTTTACTAACTGCACAACACACAACTTCCCCAGGCCCTGGAGGATGCCGGAGTCCCCTTCAGCCATCAGGCCCCAGCAGTGCCCCTTGCTCCTGTACCCACTCTGGACTCTCGCCGGTAGGGAGGGCTGGGCTGACAGTGTCACCAGTGGGAGAGCAGGGGTCAGGGTGGGACACAGGGTTGGGATCAGGGCTGGGCACAGGATCAGGGTCTGGGCTGGGCGCAGGATCAGGGTCTGGGCTGGGCACAAGGTCAGGACCAGCGTCGTGCCCAGCCTTCGGGTCAGAAGATTCCACAGGAGTAGGGCTGGGGGTGGATCTGGAGCGGGGGAGGGGTTTGGAGCTGGGATCCGGCAGAGTGCCCGGCCCGGAGCCAGGGTCAGAGCTACGGCCAGAGCTGGTGCCAGAGCTGAGGCCCAAGCCAGAGCCGAGCACAGAAACAGCATCAGAACCCAGGAGGGAGACCTGCCCCGGCCTCATCATGGATGCAGGGCTTAGGCCAGGCCCTAGGCCCAGGCCGGCCGCCGCTGCTGCAGCTGCGGCAGCCGCGGCAGCTGCAGCAGCGGCTGCACCCTCATGCACCCGTTTGTGCTTGGTGAGGCTGGAGGCCTGGCCAAAGGCCTTCCCGCAGAGCTGACAGCGATAGGGACGCTCGCCCGAATGCACGTGCAGGTGCTGGAGCAGCGCTGAGCTCTGCCCGAAGGCCTTGGAGCAGTGCGGGCAGGCGTAGGGCCGCTCGCCCGTGTGGATGCGCAGGTGGTGTTGCAAGTTGGAGCTCTGCCCGAAGGCTTTGCCGCAGTGGGGGCAGCGGTAGGGGCGTTCGGCCGTGTGTGTGCGCTGGTGCTGCAGCAGCGCCGAGCTCTGCCCGAAGGCCTTGCCGCACTGCGGACACGGGTAGGGCCGCTCGCCCGTGTGCGTGCGCAGGTGTTTGAGGAGCGCAGAGCCCTGGCCGAAGCCCTTGGCGCACACCGGGCACTTGTGGGGCCTCGGGCCGCCGTGCGTGCGCAGGTGCTGCGCCAGGAGCGAGCCGTGCCCGAAGGCCTTGCCACACACCGGGCAGTGGTGCGGCTTCTCCCCGCTGTGGCTGCTGCGATGTTTCAGCAGCGTGGAGCGCCAGCCGAAGGCCTTGCCGCACGCCGCGCACTGGTACGGCCGCGCCCCGGTGTGGATGCCACGGTGCTGCGCCAGGGTGGCACCGTGGCTGAAGGACTTCCCGCAGTCGGGGCAGCGGTACGGCTTCTCACCGCTGTGGGTGCGGCGATGCTGGCTCAGCCCGGAGCTGCGGCGGAAGGCTCGCCCGCAATCCGGGCAGGAGAAGGGCCGGGGCGGGCTGGCGGGGGCGGGGAGCACCGCGGGGCTAGTGGCCAAGACCTGGGGGGTGGCAGTGAGGCCAGGGGAGATGGGGTCCACGTTTGGATCGCCGGGGCTGAGGGTGTCGCTGTTAGGATCGAGAATCAGGGGTACGGGGCCAATCACATCTGGATCGAGGTCGAAACTCGAAGACATGGGGTCGGGATCTTGGGGTTCCGAGCCCGGAGCTTCGGCGTCGGGGTCCAGATCCTCCGAGACGGGCTCCAGATCTTCATAGCTGGGGTCCACGTCTTCCGGGACAGTGTTGAGGTCTTCAGGATCAGGCTCTGGGTCTTCAGAAACCGGGTCCAGATCTTCAGGATTGGGGTCTAGGTCCTCGGAATCAGAGTCAAGCTCTTCATAAACGGGTCTCAGGCCTTTGTGGCCTGGGTTCCTGACCAGGACTGAGCGCCGCATTTCAGGCGTGGATGTGCCGGCAGCTTCTGGGGCAGGACCTGCAAGGGCAAGAATAGAGGGTAGAGGGTAGGTGGGTTCTAGGGGAGCGGGGGTGTCTTTTGGAGTCTGGTTAGGGATGAGAAAGGGGACCCGGTTGTGCCCTCAGAACCCACTTTTTTTTTTTTTTTTTTTTTTTTTTTTTTGATGGGGTCTTTTTGTGTCCCTAGGGCTGGAGTGCAATGGCAGGATCTCGGCTCACTGCAACCTCTGCCTCCCAGTTTCAAACAACTCTCCTGCCTTAGCCTCGGGAGTAGCTGGGATTACAGGCGTTCGCCACCACACCTGGCTAATTTTTGCATTTTTAGTAGAGACAGGATTTCACCATGTTGGCCAGGCTGGTCTCAAACTCCTGACCTCAGGTGATCCACCCCTTCAGCCTCCCAAAGTGCTGGGATTACGGACGTGAGCCACCGCGCCCAGCCCCACTTCTTTATTTTTATTTTTTTGAGATGGTGTCTCACTCTGTCACCCAGGCTAGAGTGCAGTGATGTGATCATAGCTCACTGCAGACTGGAAATCCCGGGCTCAAGTGATCCTCCCACCTGGGCCTCCCAAGTAGCTGGAATTACAGATACACCACACTCAACTAACCTCAATTCTTTCTTTCTCTCTTTCTCCTTCTTTCTTTCTTTCTTTCTTTCTTTTTCTTTCTTTCTTTCTTTCTTTTTCTTTCTTTCTTTCTTTTCTTTCTCTTTCTCTCCTTTCTTCCTTCCCTCTCTCCTTCCTTCCTTCCCTCTCTCCTTCCTTCTTTCCCTCTCTCCTTCCTTCCTTCATTCCTTCCTTTCTCACTCTCTCTTTTTTGAGATGGGGTGTCGTTACGTTGCCCAGGCTGGTCTCAAACTCCTGGACTCAAGCAAACCTCTGACCTCGGCCTCAGAAAATGCTGGGATTACAGGCATGAGCCACTGTGCCTGGCCAACTCCCACTCACTTCTGAGCATACACGTGGATGTTTCCCTTGTATCTGACTGCAGGGAGATTTCTGACTTACCCCAGCCAGGGCAGGGAGTTGAGGGACCCGGGTGGGACATGGTAGGACCCTCCCCTTTCAGCCCCGAACCTGGACAGAGGTCATGAGACCTGGCACTAGAGGTTTCTAGTCCCCAACTCCATGGCTCTGCCCCTCTCTCCATCCTGGGCTCCTCTTATGGGAAGCTGGGGTCCTGTGGAGGAGACAGTCCTGGGTTCCTACCACCTTGCTGGAGGTCACCACATGGGGAACAGTGTGGGTGTCAGCGTTCTTGTGCTCCTGAGCACATGGCCTGAATTCTTGTCCTATACTTGGGGGTGGCAGCTTAATTTATCGGGGGGAGTTCTGGTAGGGGAGGCCCCCCTCCAGCAGCAGCATTCTGAGCTCTAGAACCCATGTCTGGGGGATAAGAATATGCAACAAATAATGTCTGGCATCCCTCCCAAGTCACTGGGGAAAGACAAGAAGACCCTAGCTTGCCTTCTGGGGAGAAGAAAACCTGCATTCCAGAACTCACAGCGCCAGGTGGGAGTCAGTGTCAAATCCTCTCTCTTAGATCGGGAATGCCCTTTCCTACAGCCAGATGGTGAGCACGGTAGAGTGATATTTGGGACTCCTCCTGGTGTGGAGGGGTGGGCACGGAGACTCATGAACCCCATAGGCAGGAGGGTGGGGACAGTTGTTAGTATACCTGTTTTATTTATTTATTTATGTTTGAGATGGGGTCCTGGTATGGTACCCAGGCTGGACTCAAACTCCTAGGTTCAAGTGATCCTCCCGCCTCAGCCTCCCAAAATATGGTGATTACAGGCATGAGCCACCATGCCCGGCCAGTATACCTGTTTGCACTATTGGCTGGAAGGTCCTGAATTTTAACTTCTAGCTGGAGGATGGGCACGAATAATACCTGGGGACCCTCTGAAGTTACTGGGGAAATGCCTGAGCCATCTCCTCCCATGGCTGGGACGTGGCGGGTAGTGTCAGCACACTTGTGGCCCTTCCTGCAGGAAGGATCCTGAACTGAACTCCCAGTTTGTGACTGGGGGCAGGCTGGGAGGTAGATGAACAAAAGCTGGAACCACTTCTGGGGAGCAAGGGGAGCCCAGGATGACCTGCCTGGGGTGGGGAGGCCTTGAGCTCCCCACCCATGGCTGGGTGTTGAGGTGCCAACAATGAATGATCTGCTCCTAGGAGAAGGTGTGGGGGGACCTGTGGCTCCCCTTCTGGGGAGGGGAATACACTGAGCCACAACCCCATAGCTGGGAGTGTGCAGGCAAACAGAGCCGAGTTCCTGGACAGGGGGTCCTCAACCCAGACCCTTAGTTGGAGAGCAGGGGAAAAAATACCTGGGACCCCTCCTGCATTCCTGCGGGGACAGAGGAACTCTTAGATTACCTCCAGGGGAAGGGGTCCCCTCAATTCACATCTCTTAGCTGGAAGGTGGGAGGAGAAATCACTTAAGTCTTTCCTGAGTTCCCAGGGGTGAGGGCAGGTGGACCCCCTGGATCACCTCCAGGGGAAGGAGCTTCCAGACCTCCAGACTCCAAGACTGGAGGGGGAGGGGGACAATCGCTGGTACCCTTCGTAGGGTCCTGGGGGAAGAGGGACCCCCTAGATCCCCCTCTTGAGGACAGGGCCTCCTGAACTCCCGACCCCAGGCGGGAGGTGGGAACAATACCGGAGCCCCTCCTCGAATCAGGAGGGGAGGGGGTCCTGGATAGCCTCTTGGGAGGGGGCGTCCTGCGCTCCAGACCCCAGAGCTGGCGGGCGCCCCCCACCACGCCCGATTGAAGGTTCCCAATCTCCGGGGCCCTTTTCCCCGGCCTCAGCGGCGGGATGGGCTCGCTAGGCCGGGATGGGCCGCGGGGTCCCCTCCCCATCGCGCCCGCGACCCCCACTCGCCGGGGCCAGGGCTGGCGGCGCGCAGGGCGGGGGACGAATAGAGGTCGCCCCGGGCTGCGCCCCGCGCCTGGAGCCCCCCCCTGCCCGTCCGCCCCCCGCCGGGTCCCCCGCCCCGGCCCCAGCCCGTTCGCGGGGACACTCACCCGGCGCCCCTCGCCCCTGCCCGGCCCGCCGCGCCCGCGCCGGCCGCCGGCGCCCCCCGGGCCCGCAGGAAGCCCCCCGCCCGCCAGCCCCGCCGGCGGCCCCCTCGGCCCAGCGGCCCCGCCAGGCGCTCCCGGGGAGCGAGAGGGGCCGGCCGAGGGCCGCAGCGGGAGCTGCTGGGACTTGTAGTTCGCCCGCGCCCGCCGCGGCCGTCGCCATCGCTGCCCCCGCCCCCCGGGCAGGCCTTTGTCCCCGGCCGGGCCACCCCGGCCGCGCGGCCGCGCCTTTGTCTGCACCATGCCCCGCCCGCACGCAGCCCTGGCCCCATCCCTAGTCTCCTCCTGGGCCTGTCTCAGCCCCTCTGTGGCCCTGGCCCTGTCTCTTTCTCTCCGTCTCTATCCCTCTCTCTGTCTCTCTCCGTCCCTATCTCTCTGTCTCTGTTCATTCTCTGTCTGCTCTGTCCCTGTCTTCCCATCTGTGTTCCTTTCTCTGTGTCTGTCCCCATCTCCTTCTCTCTGTGTTCCAATCTCTTTGCCTCTGTTGCTTTCTCTGCCTCTGTCTCTCTGTGTCTGTCTGTCTGTCTGTCTCTGCCTGCTGCCCATGTCTCTGACTCTATCTTCGTTCATAAAACTCTACACACGTTGTTCTTGTAGACTTGCAATGCACACAGGCACAGCCAAGCTTCTCAGCTCTGCAATCTAAAAATAAGTCTAGTTTTGCTTAACCTGGCCTTCCTCCAATGTTTCCTTTATGCATGGTGAAACCCGTCACCCTTTCTGGGTAACACCCGCCAAGGCACAGATTTGGGATATTCGTCCCCTAGTGTTTTCAGCCTCCTACCCAGATGGCGGGTCACCGCTGTCCCTGGAGGCCTCCAAGTGCTAGATGTGAGTGATGGTTTCCGGAGAACCTTAGGCAGGGCTGGGAAGGGCTGGGGGCAAACTTGCCTTGGAGACACAGATCCCCACTGCCAGCCAGGAGAGAGAGTGGAAATCAGCTCCTGGCGGCTGGGCCGCGATGTTCTCCACTAAATATAAACAGTGGCCACAGAACATAAACAATGATGAGACAAGGCCACTCTGTGACCATGTCTGAAGCAAGATAGAGACATGGGCCCTCTGCAACCACAAAAATGAGTTCTCATCCCCCTCTCCCAGTGAACACAAATGACTGCCACTTCTTACCGACCACAAATCCAACCCAACTTCCATCCTCCCACCTCTGAGATAAAAATCACCGAAATACCTAGTCAGCAAAGTGCTTCCAGCTTCCCAACAATACCACCCTAGTAATTCTCTTTAAAACCACCCAATATAGGCTGGGTGTGGTAGCTCACACCTGTAATCCCAACGCTTTCGGAGGCCAAGGGGGGCAGATCACGAGGTCAGGAGTTTGAAACCAGCCTGGCCAGCATGGTGAAATCCTGTCTCTACTAACAATACGAAGATTAGCCGGGCGTGGTGGCGCACACCCGTAATCCCAGCTACACAGGAGGCTGAGGGAGGAGAATTGCTTGAACCCAGGAGGTGGAGGTTGTAGTGAGCCAAGATTGCACCACTGCACTCCAGCTTGGGCAACAGAGCAAGACTGCATCTCAAAAACAAAACAAAAACCCAAACTAACAAGTACAAGCCCAAATTCTATAAGATGCTCCTCTGCCCCCATGTCCTCCTTATAGAGACACCCTATGGTTCCTTCTTCCTTCCTGAACCTTCTAGATGTGTGTTGGACTCATAGCCTGAGACCTGCTTTCCATCTTTCCGCAGAGCCCATAGCAGATCTGAGAGATTGGAGATAACTTCAATTGGATTATGCCCCTAGTTCCTTATCCTGCCACTTCCTGGATGATCCCATTACAAATACTTGTGATGACATCTGTTGTTTCTTTGGCTTAGAATCTAACAGTACTTTCTTTTCCTTTGTGGAGTCCCCTCCACTACTCCAAATGGACATATGTCTAACACCCCTTCCCAGTCCCATGTGATCTGGACTCTAATCAAAGGGCCCCATCCCCTGGCCACAATAATTAGGTATGGGATGAAAAGGTGACATTGGAGGTTCTCATTCTACCTCTGGGATTATGAGCCACAAGGAGCTCATTCTGTCTGCAGTCACCTTCCCCAGTTGTTCAAAAGAACAGTCTGCAGACTGAGGCCAATATGCACCAAGATGTACAAGTAAGAGTCAGAGAGATAGCTCTGGCTATATTTGTTGAGCTCCTGGATATAGCTGTACCTGAAGCCAGAGAACTCATTCTTTCCTGTACCACAAAACCCACAAATATTCTGGGTGTTTGAGCTAGTTTTAGTGGATGTCTGTTTCTTGCATCCGTGACAGTCTTGACTAATTTAGGAATTATTACCTGGAAAGGAAAGAGTAATAAAAAAAAATCTTAAAAATAAAACCTAAAAATGTGGAACCAACTAAAGGAAGATGGGGTAGAGAGCCAGGATTGCCACACACATGGACTATAAAGTGAACGGGGCACCTTAGATTATGGAATGCACAACCTGTCTAGATGTACACAGGGGTTATGTAAAAGAGCTTTTCCCCCAGAAAACTAGAGTTATGTGGAAGAAAACCAGCTGATTAAATTGTTGCCTGGCCAGGCGCGGTGGCTGACACCTGTAATCCCAGCACTTTGGGAGGCTGAGATGGGCGGATCGCTGAGGTCAGGAGTTTGAGACCACCCTGGCCAACATGGTGAAACCCCATCTCTACTAAAAATACAAAATTAGCCGGGCATGGTGGCAGGTGCCTGTAACCCTAGCTACTCAGGAGGCCGAGGCAGGGGAATCACTTGAACCTGGGAGGTGGAGATTTCAGTGAGCCGAGATCGCGCCACTGTACTCCAGCCTGGGCGACAGAGCAAGACTCCATCTCAAAAATAAAAAATAAATAAATAAATAGTAACCTATTTTATCATGGAACTCTAACCATGTGTCTCCTAAGGACCAGAATATTGGAATATAGGGAAGCTTTCTTTCTTTTTTAGAGACAGGGTCTCATTGTGTCACCCAGGCTGGAGTGCAGTGACACAATCGTAGCTCACTGCAGCCTTGAACTCCTGGGTTCAAGCCATCCTCCCACCTCAGCATCCTGAGTAGCTGGGACTACAGACGAGTAGCTGGGGACTCAGCCTCCTGAATAACTGGGACTACAGCCACCATGCCTGCCTATTATTATTATTTTATTTGTAGAGATAGGGTCTCACTATGTTGCCCTGGCTGGTCTCGAACTCCTGGCTTCAGCAATCCTTCCAACTTGCTGGGACTGCAGGTGTGAGCTACCATGCCTGGCCTGGGGCCTGGAGCAGCTTTCATGCAATCTTCAGCAAAGTCTTGCAAGAAAGACACAAGTTTCTGGAATGTGTTCCTTCTCAAAGCAGAGACTCATTTGCTTCATCTTGTGAGATTGTCAGAGCTGAATTTTCTGTCCCAGGCTAAAAGATGAGGCAGACGATGAGGTGGAAGATAAGACTGGGATTATGGGAGAACATCTGACACCCTAAGCTACTCCCAAACACTGAATATTCCTTGTCTACAAAGCTGACGATCACTCTCACTGGGAAGAGCCTATTAGCTGAGCTAATCCACCCTCCAGATTGCAACCTGGGGCAGGACACAGATCTGTCCTTAGGAGACACAGTCAAGTTTGGGCTCCAGCACCGTGATCCTGACTGGGTTTGGGGAACTAAATAACCTAGGGGTGGGCTCCTGAGCTGGCCAAGCCAATCACAATATTGTTTTCCTCTAGGCACAGTGATTGGTCCACAACTGGGTGTGTGATTCAAATGGGCCAATCAGCCTGTTCCTTAAATTCCAATATGGGTCCCAGTGTGGTGGCTCAGGCTTGTAATCCCAGCACTTTGGGAGACTGACCAGCCTGGCCAACATGGTGAAATCCCATCTTTAATAAAAATACAAAAATTAGCCGGGCATGATGGTGCATGCCTGTAATCCCAGCTACTTGGGAGGCTGATGCAGGAGAATCACTTGAACCCGGGAGGTGGAGGTTGCAGTGAGCCATGATTGCAGCACTGCACTCCAGCCTGGGTGACAGAGTGAGACTCTGTCTCAAAAAAACAAAACAAAACAAAACAAAAACAAAAAACTCAATAGAGGGAGCATGTTGGAAAGACCCTGCCCTTCTCTAGGGGCTTTAATCATTAGCATTGGTAAATACTACCAACATCTTCCTTTGCTGTTGTTTGGAGGGACACAGGACTGAGAGATGGCCAGGGAGACACAGTCCTGATGCAAAATGCCTGATATTAGACCCAATTCCAGACTCAGACTTTCTTGTTTCTCTGTGTGTGTGTGTGTGTGTGTGTGTGTGTATTATTTTTGAGACAGGATCTTGCTTAGTTGCCCAGGCTGGAGTGCAGTGATAATAGCTCACTGCAGCCTCAATCTTCTGGGCTCAAACAATCCTCCCACCTCAGCCTCCCAAGTAGCTGAGACTACAGGTGCATGCCACCATGCCCAGCTAATTTTCTAAATTATTTTTAGTAGAGATGAGATCTCACTATGTTGCCCAGGCTGGTCTTGAACTTCTGACTTCAAGTGATCTTCCCGTCCCAGCCTCCCAAAGTGTTGGGATTGCAGGCACGAGCCACCATGTCTGGCTTTTTTCTAAATCAATGAAATTCCTTTTTTTCACTTGAGTCAGATAGAGCTTGGTTTCTGTCGCTTGCAACAAAATGATATAAGACATTAACACATTTAGTCACCATTCATTGAGCTGCAGCCAAGTGCCAGGCCCTCTTCTGAGCATGGTACATGCACCTTTTATTTAATTCCTGTATATACTCTCTGAAACGGGAACTATTTGCATTCCCATTTTACAGAGAGGGAAAGTGAGGGTCAGGGTGTATTCCTGCCTAAGGACAGAAAGGCAGGTCTGAATTCTGCTGCTGGGTGATGCTTTCCATTGAGAAAGTTGTTTTCCTTTAAAAATTAATCTTGGTGACCAGGCACAATGGCTCATGCCTGTAATCCCAGCACTTTGGAAGCCGAGGCAGGCAGATCACGAGGTCAGGAGTTCAAGACCAGCCTGAGCAATATGGTAAAGCCCCGTCTCTACTAAAAATACAAAAATTAGCCAGGCACGGTGGCGGGCACCTGTAATTCCAGCTGTTTGGGAGGCTGAGGCAGGAGAATCGCTTGAACCCAGGAGGCGGAGGTTGCAGTGAACTGAGATTGCACCATTGCTTTCCAGGCTGGGTGGCAAGAGCAAGACTCCGTTTTGGGGAAAAAAAGAAAAAGAAAAAACTTAGTTTCTCACATTCAATTCTATATTATTTGTCTTAATCCCTAGGCTTTTTGGGGGAGGAAGGGGGTGAGTGGAATATAGGAGGTTAGTCATAAATCCATAAAATACATCCAGAATCATCCTGATGTAATGTCTTTCCCCGAGGATTAAACATTTCCAGTACAGTTTCTGTTCTTCCCTGGCAAGCCATCCTAGGGCTGGTCATTTTCATTGTTAGAAAACGCTTCAAGTTGTGCTGAAATCCAGCTCTTTTTAACAGCTATGGACTGTTTTCCTCTAATGCCTAAGGCTGTTTTCAACTATTCCAGGCCAGGCACAGTGGCTCACGCCTTTAATCCCAACACTTTGGGAGGCCGAGATGGGTGGATCACTAAGTCAGGAGATCAAGATCATCCTGGCTAACACAGTGAAACCCCATCTCTTAAAACAAAACAAAACAAAACAAAACAAAAATTAGCCGGGTGTGGTGGTGGGCGCCTATAGTCCCAGCTACTGGGGAGGCTGAGGCAGGAGAATGGCATGAACCCGGGAGGTAGAGCTTGCAGTGAGCTGAGATCATGACACTGCACTCCAGCCTGGGTGACAGAGCAAGACTCTGTCTGAAAATAAATAAATAAATAAATAACAAATAAATAAACCATTCCTGGCATGAGGCAGGAAGATAATCCCACAACTAGAGCTACATAGAACTTAAGACCAAATAAACATTCTGAGCTTCCCAGCAGGCAAGGCAAAAAGAGAAAACCTTTCTGTTCTAGTAGTCTGGTCACTAGGCAGACCAGCTTCATCAGAAGAGGATGAGCTTATTGCAGGGATTTCCAACCAGGGCAATTCTTTCCCATCCAGAAGATATTTGGCAATATTTGGGACATTTTGTTACAAGTGGGAGGGAGAGGTACTACTGGCATTTAGTGGGTAGAGGACAAGGATGGCACTAAATATCCTACAATGCACAGGAGAGTCTCCAATAAAGAATGATCTAAGACATCAATAGATGACAAGCCCTGGTTTATCCTGAAGTAACTCAGAAGAGCATGATGCCAAATATCTTTAGAGGACATATTCTACAGCCGGCAGATTCTTGCATGGTCAACGTGGATACCATGTGTGGTCCAAAGGGTCAGGATGCAAAGCTGGATTCCCTCCTGCCTTTCTTGCAGAAATGACAACCTGGCCTAGAAGAACTGATGCCAACCAGGAAAGGGCTCCTGGGCAGGGTTGAGATTGGCTCAACCTCATGGTTCATTGGATTGGGGTCCTTGGTCTTTGGAGGTTTGATTCTCGGTTCAGGAAAGCCATATTCACTCCTTGAAACTGAACATTCAACAGCCCACAGAGGCAGGCACCTTACCCCAGACAGACCTTACCCCAGACAGACCTTTCTCCTCACCACACCCTGGACCTTCAAGGTCAGGCGCTGTCCAAGGTACTGGTCCTTACTAAGCCCTGTCACTCACTTGTTGCAGAGCTCCATCACATCCTCCTCCTTTTGACCCTTTACATTTTGTCTCTGGCTGAACACTCACCCCCTTGGACCTGGTAATGTCTTGATGGCTTTTGTCAATTTGCCTCTGGACTCTGCTCTGACCTGGGGGCCAGTTTCCCAGACAGTCAGTGCCCCATTCGGTCTCTAGTCTCTGCCCATGATGGAAGAAACTGCTGGGCTATTGTCAACTGTGTCCACTCCTCCATGTCCTCTACAGGCCACACCCAGTGTCCCCACCATTGAAAGCTTTTTCCCCACACCCTGGCCTTCCCCACTTTCATCCTCAGAAGGGGAGCTTTCCCTCCACGACCCCAGCCCCATGCACTGAAAAGTGTGGACATTTCTCATGTTTAACAGTCTCAAGGGAGAGTTGCTACTTATCCCCGTTTCATAGATGAGCAAATTGAGGCTCAGCAGGGTTAGGTGACTTGCCCAAACTACTCTCCAGGACATGGAGGAGTCCGGGTTTGGACTATGTCCATCCAGCCCCCACAGGGATCTATGTTCTCAAGCACACACATCAATATCTCTGTTCAGCACTACAACTTTTTTCATTTTGTCTTTTTTTGAGACAGAGTTCTTGCTCTGTTGCCCTGACCGGAGTGCAGTAGTGCAATCATATAGCTCACTGTAGCATCAAATTTCTGGGCTTAAGTCATTCTCCCACCTCAGCCTCCTGAGTAGCTGGGACTACAAGCATGTACCCCCATGCCTGGCTTTTTAAAATTTTTATTTATTTATTTACTTACTTACTTGCTTACTTATTTTTTGAGATGTAGTCTCGCTCTGCTGCCCAGGCTGGAGTTCAGTGCTGTGATCTCACTGCAACCTCCACCTCCCAGGTTCAAGTGATTCCGTGCTTTAGCCTGTCGAGTAGCTAAGATTACAGACATGTGCCACCACGTCTGGTTAATTTTTGTATTTTAGTAGAGATAGGGTTTCATCATGTTGGCCAGGTTGGTGTCGAACTCCTGATCTCAGGTGATCCGCTCGCCTTGGCCTCCCAAAATGCTGGGATTATAAGTGTGAGCCACTGCGCCTGGCCAATTATTTTTTGTAGAAACAGGATCTCCCTATGTTGCCCAGGCCGATCTCAAACTCCTGGGCTCAAGCAATCCTCCCATCTCAGCCTCCCAAAGTGTTGGGGTTACAGGTGTGAGCCACCGCGTCCAGCCTTGACTCCATACTCTTCATGGCAACGCAGCAACAATGGAGTCATCCTTTCCCGTGCAGTCCCTTCCCCCAGCCCCCACCCACCCAAGCATCCTCTCGACTGGCTGACTGATGGGGAAGAGTGGAATGTTGCCAAGGTGGCATTTATTACTGGCTGGGGCACGGGTACATAGGGGGCTGGGGAGCCCGAGGGTCTATCTTCTCCCTGCAGCCGTGCTGGTGAGGCGTGCCCAGGGGCACGAAGCCCTCCTGAGGATTTTTCAGTCTCAGGGCTGCTGGACCCTGATACTTGAAAGGAAATTCGTCCTTGTATTGGGTTGAGAAGAAGCGCAGTCCACCCAGTGGGGGCTCCATGTGACTGTACTTGCACTGTGGAGTCAGGGTGGACAGCATGGCAGGGCAGCCTGGGAGGTGGCTGACCCACCCTGTCCACCCCAGGATCTCCAGGCCTAATGAGTCAGGGGCTGGGGCCAGGCAGGACAGGCTAGTTGGTCAGTGCAGAGCCAATGTCTGATGAAGGAGGATGGTTAAGACTGGGTAAGAGAGGATAGGGAAAGGGGCAAGGCTATGACCAGAAGGGTGGAGTTATGCAAGGGTAGGACATGGCTACGAAGGGGCTGAATTGTCCAGGGGTGGAGCTTGGGCTCTGGTCAATTTGGGGTGGGATTTAGCCCTTCAGGAGGTGAAGCCAGGGGTAGGGTGAGGCCAGTTAGGGGCAGAGCCAGAGCATCAAAGGCTGGGGAGGTTGAACCCTGGGGAGAGGTGGATAAAAAGGGCCCCAGGCGAGGCTGAATAAGGAGCTGGATAAGAAGCTGGAGAGTAACCAGGGGTGTCCCTGGAAGGACTCCAGGGCTGGGGTGCTCCTCGGTGGCTCTGAATTAACCCTCGTCTTGGGTATAACAGTGGTGGTGGTGCAAAGATGCCCCTGAGCTGACCTGGACACGACCCTGGGGAGTGAGCTAGGGATTATCTCTATTTTTTTTTCCTTTTTTTGAGGCAGAGTCTTGCTCTGTTGCCCAGCCTAGAGTGCAATGGCACGATCTTGGCTCACTGCAACCTCCGCCTCCCCAGTTCAAGTAATTCTGTCTCAGCCTCCCGAGTAGCTGGGATTACAGGCGTGTGCCACCATGCCCGGCTAATTTTTGTATTTTTAGTAGAGACGGGGTTTCACCATATTGGCCAGGCTGGTCTCAAACTCCTGACTTCAGGAGATCCGCCTGCTTCGGCCTCCCAAAGCGCTGGGATTACAGGCGTGAACCACCGCACCCGGCGAAGCTAGGGATGATCTTGAGGCTAAAGGGATATTAAGATGCCCCCGGCCGGGCGAGGTGGCTCCCAGCACTTTGGGAGGCTGAGACGGGTGGATCACGAGGTCAAGAGATCGAGACCATCCTGGCTAACACGGTGAAACCCCGTCTCTACTAAAAAATACAAAAGAACTAGCCAGGCAAGGTGGTGGGCCCCTGTAGTCCCAGCTACTCGGGAGGCTGAGGCAGGAGAATGGCGTGAACCCGGGAGGCGGAGCTCGCAGTGAGCTGAGATCCGGCCACTGCACTCCAGCCTGGGCAACCGAGCGAGACTTCGTCTCAAAAAAAAAAAAAAAAAAGGTGCCCCTGAGCCTGGATGGTCACTAACTCTGAGGCTGGGTGACAGCATAGTCTTCCTGAGACAACTCTACACCCATGTGGGGGTTGCCTAATGATGGGTGGCTCCCCTCCCGCTCCCTCACCCGCTGTAGCATCTCTTCAGTCACCAGGGCCGGAGCTGTTCCGTGTGGCTTCAGCATCTTCTGGTTCATGGTTAAAAAATCGAATTCTGGAGATTCAGGTTAGGGAGGCTGAGTGAGGGCTGTGGGCAGAGGCGGGGCTGAGGGTGTGGTGAAGTTCAAGGGAAGGGTTCAAGAGCCAAGCCAGGCTAGCGCTGATGTTGACCAGGGGAGAAGAAAGGATTAGGAGAGGGGAGGAGGGAGGAGCCAAATAAGGAGGGAGGAGCCAGAGGAAGGGGGAGGAGCTGGGGAAGAGGGAGGAGCTTGGGAAGAGGGAGGAGCTGAGGAAGAGGGAGGAGGTGGGAGAGGAGGGAGGAGCCAGGGGAGGAGGGAGGAGCTAGAGGAAGGGGGAGGAGCTGGGGAAGAGGGAGGAACTGGGAAACAGGGAGGAGCTAGGAAAGAGGAAGGAGCCGAGGAGGGAGGAGCCAGAGGAAGGGGGAGGAGCTTGGGAAGAGGGAGGAGCTGGGGAGGAGGGAGGAGCTAGGGGAAGAGCCAGGAGCTAGGGCACAGGGCTAAGAAGATCAGGGGTGGGACCCGTCCAGATGAGTCTGGGGGCAAGGCCACGCAGGGCTGGCTGGCGGGTCAGGGGCGGAGCCAGAGTCTGACAATCGAGGAGGAGTTAAGACTGGATAAGAGAGGATGGAGAAGGGGCGGGGCCATGTCCAGAAGGATGGAGTTATGAAGGGGAGAGGTATGACATGAAGGGGAGAGGTATAACATGAAGGGGCGGGATTATCCAGGGGCAGAGTTGTGGTTCTGGTCAATTGGGGGTGGGATTTAGCCTTACGGGGGTGAAACCAGGGGAAGGGGAGGGCTGGTTAGGGGCGGGGCCCGAGCAGTGGCAGGGGGCGAGGCTTCCAGGGCTGGGGCTTCCTGGGGCGGGGCTTCCCGGGGCGGGGCTCTATGGGGCGGGGCTTCCCGGGAGCGCTCACCGCCGGTCCCCTGCGGCAGGTTGCTCGGCTGCAAGTGGAGGTTGGGCGCTTTCTGCACCTGCCTCCACTCGGAGGGGCAGTAGTCAGAGCCCATGGTGGTCTTGAAGAAGCATCTGAGTAGCTTTGGCTCCCCTAGGGTCACGTGACTCTGTAGTTTCTCGTGAGGCACGTGGCGGCTGGGTGGCTGTGTCGCGGGTGGCGGCTGTAGGACATGGCATTTGAAAGCTCCGGCGTCCGAGAGGTCCCCGGGCCCGGGATCGGGAGGGAGGAGGTGGGCTCTGTGTGACCTTGAACAGCTCCCTCGCCCTTTCTGGGCCCCACCGAGGATCGGAGTGGTTAATGACTTGCCCTAGATCACTCAAGTACATCCAGGAGATTACTGCATACATATCAAGCTCATTCCCCCTTTGGGACTTCTGCACCTGCTATTTGCTCTGTCTGGGAAGCCCTTTCGCTGCCGCCTTTTCGCTCTTCCTGCTCACCTGGCCGTAGAAGTACTGCATGAAGGTGTCCAGACTGCCGGGGCCGGGGCACCAATTTCCTTTCAGGATGTGCGACTCCGGAGTCTGATCGTGGTGAAGAACAAAAGGTTCTGCCAGGAGCCGAACAGGTGCAGAGCTGCCCTGGGAGGCTGCGGTGGGAGGCGGGGCGGGGCGGGCCGCAGGCTCTCACCTGGCTCCCGGGCATAGAAGTGCTCGGCCTTGGTGGTTCTGTCGTGAAAGAGGCCGTCACCAGGACGGATATTTACATAGTGGATGTGGGCTGCGGCCTGGGCCTTGTCATACCTGCATGTAATGTATTATTCTATCAAGAACAAGGTAAAGTGAGCCGGCGCGGTGGCTCACCCCTGTAATCCCAGCACTTTGGGAGGCTGAGGTGGGTGGATCGCCTGAGGTCAGGCCTTTGAGACCAGCCTGGCAAAAATGGTGAAACCCCATCTCTACTAAAAATACCAAATTAGCTGGGCATGGTGGCATGTGCCTGTAATTCCAGCTACTCGGGAGGCTGAGGCAGGAGAATCGCTTGAACCCGGGAGGCGGAGTTTGCAGTGAGCTGAGATCATGCCACTGCACTCAAGCCTGGGCAACAGAGCGAGACTCCGTCTCAAAAAAAAAAAAAAAAAAGAAGAAGAAGAAGAAGAAGAAGGTAAAGTGGATCCATCTGAGGCCTTGTAACCTCCAGAAAGGGGGAGGGGATCAGGGTTTCCTAATGACCAAGCCATGGGGCTCTAATAATGGGAGACCTGGCACAATAGTGCACCTTGGCTACCAGTGACATAGACCTCAAAGGCAGAGTATTGGTCCTAAAGCCCTAAGGGGCTCATACCACATGCTACTGAAAGCCAATTGTCCCATCTGGGTGGGAAGGCAGTGCCCTCCCCACTTTTTTTTTTTTTCGAGATGGAGTCTTGCTCTGTCGAACAGGTTGGAGGGCAGTGGTACAATCTTGGCTCACTGCAGCCTCCGCCTCCCAGGTTCAAGGGATTCTCTTGCCTCAGCCTCCCGAGTAGCTGGGATTACAGGTGCCCACCATTACACCCGGCTAATTTTTGTATTTTTAGTAGAGACGAGGTTTCACCATATTGGCCAGGCTGGTCTCGAACTCCTGACCTCATGATCCGCCTGCCTCAGCCTCCCAAAGTGCTGCGATTACAGGCATGAGCCACCGTGCCCGGCAATGGCCCCTTTATACCTATCTTCAGGCAGACCCTGGGGCCTGTAGGCCTGTTTCTGCTCTGAACACATCGATCCATAGCTGATCTTGCAGTCTCCCAGCTCCACTGTAGAGGAGGCCTGTGGGCAGACAGGGATAGGAAGGCCCAAACCACCCAGCCCCCAATTCTGCCCCCACCTGCAGCCCCAACACAGCCACAATTTACCCTCTTACACATCAAGGCAGGTGGGCCTGGCAGGGCCTGGAACTGTCTTTGGTAGGAAGTCCCATCTTGTCTCGTGTAGTCCCACTTGAGGGTGTTGGGGCCTCCTTAGGATAGGCAAGAGGGGAGAGAGAAAAGAAGAGAGAGAGAAAGGGAGGGGGAGGGGGAGAGAGAGAGACAGAGAGACAGACAGAGAGAGATTGAGATTATCTGCCATCTCAAGCCCTCTGGAAGGAATTCTAATTTTTGCCTGGGAAGGGCAGCTGGGCCATTCTGAACAGTGTAGACTGAGAGCTGTCTGGCAAACACCAAAGAATAAAAATAAAATAAGTTATACTAAAAGCCAGGGGCAATGGCCCATGCCTGTAATCCCAGCTATTCAGGTGGCTGAAGTGGGAAGATGGGCTTGAGCCCAGGAGCTGGAGACCAGCCTGGGCAACATAGCAAGACCCTCATCTCTAAAAAATAATGATAAATTTAAAAATACAGCCAGGTGCGGTGGCTCATGCCTGTAATCCCAGCACTTTGGGAGGCCAAGGTAGGTGGATCGCCTGAAGTCAGGAGTTCAAGAGCAATCTGACCAATATGGTGAAATCCCATCTCTACCAAAAATATAAAAATTAGCCGGGTGTGTTGGCATATGCCTGTAGTCCCAGCTACTCAGGAGACTGAGACAGAATAGTTTGAACCCGGGAGGCAGAGGCTGCAGTGAGCCGAGATCACGCCACTGCACTCCAGCCTGGGTCACAGAGTGAGATTCCATCTCAAAACACACACACACACACACACACACACACACACACACAAATAAAAAAACAAAAAAATCCCGATAATATCTACCAAGGACTATATTGAGCCACGCATAGGTTAAGTGCATTGCATCTTCTTCCAGGACCTAGCATCTCTCTCTCCCTCTCTCTCTTTTTTTTTTTTTGGAGACCGAGTCTCGCTTTGTGGCCCAGGCTGGAGTGCAGTGGCACAATCTCGACTCATTGCAACCTCCGCCTCCCAGGTTCAAGCGATTCTCCTGCCTCAGCCTCCCAAATAGCTGGAATTACAGGTACGCACCACTAAATTTTTGTATTTTTAGTAGAGATGGGGTTTCACCACATTGGCCAGGCTGGTCTCCAACTCCTGGCCTCAAGTGGTCCACCTGCCTCAGCTTCCCAAAGTGCTGGGATCACAGGCGTGAGCCATCGTGCCCGGTCGCACCTTCTTGGATCTGGTATTATTTCTCTTATGTTACAGTCTCCTTGAGGCTCAGAGAGGTTAAGCAACTTACCAGAAACCACAGACACTAGGAACTACAACTAAATGTCAAATCAGGGTTTGACAATCCCTGAGGCCATCTTAGAAACATCTGACCAGTAACGTTCACCAGAAGGGTTCCTGGAGTCACAGAATTGGAAAATCACACGAATGGTGGCTACTCTTTGTTGGGTGCTCTCTGCACCAGACACACCATACACATTCAGCTTTACCAGCTCCTGTGAATTGGGCCCTGTGATCGCACCCATTTTGTAGATGGGGAAACTGAGGCTTGGAGAGGTCAACTCGCTCAGTCTCACACAGCTACTAAGGTGGTAAGGCTGGGGGATGTGGGGAGGAGGGTGTGCAGATGGAAAACTTAGCTGATTTGTCTGACCCCAAACTGGCATTCATGACTTCTGCCAACCACGCACCACTCTGGATAGATTCAGAGGATATGTCCACCCTCCTGATGCTGAAACTGACGCTCAAGGTGGTTCCAGGGTTTCTGAGGCTTGGTGTGATTGACATTTGGGGCTGGCTAATTCTCTGCTGTGGGGGCTACCCTGTCTGTGGGAGGATACTTGGCAGCGTCTCTGGCCTCTACCCGCTGTCTGCTGGTAGCACCTCTGTCTGTCTTTTTAAATTGTATTTTGTAAGGGCTGGGCTCGTTGGCTCATGCCTGTAATCCCAGCACTTTGGGAGGTCGAGGCGGGTAGATTGCTTGAGCCCAGGAGTTCAAGACCCGCCAGGGCAACACAGTTAGACTGCATCTCTACAAATAAGTACAAAAAATTAGCTGGGCCTGATGACAAGTATGTCTGCAGTCCCAGCTGCCTGGGAGGCCGAGGTGGGATGATCGCTTGAGCTGGGCAGATCCAGTCTGTGTGAGCTGAGACTGTGCCACTGTGCTCCAGCCTGGGTGACAGAGAGAGACACTTTCTAAAAAAATTTATATATACATACACATTATATATAATATGTGTATATATACATTATATATATAATGTATATATATAAAATTTATATATATTTGTAGACATGGGTCTTGCTATGTTGCCTGGGCAGGTCTCCAATTCTGGCCTCAAGAGATCCTCCTGCCTGGGCCTCCCAAAGCACTGGGACTACAGGTGTGAGCCACTGCGCATGGCCTCGGCCCCCCACCGAGTCTTCCTTCCTGCCTGCCTGCCTGCCTGCCTGCCTGCCTGCCTGCCTTCCTTCCTTCCTTCCTTCCTTCCTCCCTCCCTTTCTCTCTCTCTCTTTCTTTCAGATGGAGACTTGCTCTGTCTCCCAGGCTGGAGTGCAGCAGTACAATCTCGGTTCACCGCAACTTCTGCCTCCTGGGATCAAGCAATTCTCCTGCCTCAGCCTCCCAAGTAGCTGGGATTACAGGCACCCGCCACCGCGCCCTACTAATTTTTGTATTTTAGTAGAGACGGGGTTCCTCCACATTGGCCAGGCTGGTCTCGAACTCTTGACTTCAAGCGATCCACCCACCTTGGCCTCCCAAAGTGCTGAGATTACAGGTTTGAGCCACCGCGCCTGGCCACCCCTCAAGTCTTGACCATCAAAAGTGTTTCCAGACATTGCCAAATGTTCCCTGGGGGAAGGGGAATGAAGAGTCCTTGCCCCTCTTTGAGAACCATTGGGTGAAGCAAATCGCCCTCTCAGTCCGGGTGCGCGCTCACCAAGGTGGCGACTGGGCGCGCGAGGCTGCGGGCGCGCGTCGTGGGGTGGAAAGAGCGCCTGGTGCGTGGTGGGCGGGATGCGCAACTTGTCGCGGTCGCCGGGCGGTAGGGAGTCGCGGTCGAAGATGAGGCGCGCGCCGCGGATCCGCTCTCGGGCGCGCGCCGGCAGCTCGGGCCAGACGTAGGCGGCGCGCGCGTTGGAGAGGCCGATCCCGGCGTGCGCGTCCTCGTGCAGGTGCAAGTTGCTGGCCTGCATGGCGAGCGTGCGTTCCCGCGCCTGCGCTTGCAGCAGCTCCCACGGCGGCGTCGACGGCGGCGGGAACGCGCGGCGCGCCTCCGACACGCGCTCTTCCCGGTCCCAGCGCGGGTCCGTTGGGAAAAGCAGCGCGGGCGGCGGCTGCAGGCTCGGCGGCTCCCGGGTGGCCGTCGGGTAGGCGAAGTCCCGGTGCGACGTGGTGTGCATGGTACCCTCGTGCAGCCGCAGGTCGGGCCCCAGCGAGAAGTGTGAGGCCTTGAGGAAGTCCTGCTGGGACATCGGGCACGGGCGCGGGCACGGCAGGAGGGCGCCTGCGGCCATCGCGGGACACCAGCCACCTGCGAGAGGGTGGAGATGAGGGACTGAGCAAGTGGCCAGCGGGGCACTTGCCTTTGACTCCTGCCTTTGACTCCTTTCTGCTCGCCAAGCACTGAGCTGGAGGCTGGGGACATCACGGGAAACTGGCACAGCCTCTGTGCCCTCCTCCAGCAAGAGCAGAGATAGAAATAATCATTCATGGCCGGGCTCGGGGGCTCACGCCTGTAATCCCAGCACTTTGGGAGAACCGAGACCAGCCTGGCCGACATGAGGAAACCCCATCTGTACTATAAATAAAAAAAATTAGCCCGGAGTGGTGGTGGCACCTATAGTCCCAGCTACTCGGGAGGCTGAGGCAGGAGAATTGCTTGAACCCGGGAGGCAGAGATTGCAGTGAGCCGAGATTGTGCCATTGCACTGCAGCCTGGATGACAGAGCGAGGCTCCGTCTCAAAAAAGAAAGAAAGAAAGAAAGAAAAATCATTCATGTGGTGCCTAGTGTAGGCCTGGCACACAATAGGCACCACATAAATTGATTATTTCTGTCACTACTCTAGGCCTGGAGGCCAGCAGGGGTGAGGAACTAATAGTTCACAAAATAGACCTAGATCCCTGACTTTGTGGAATTGATAATGGGGCGGGAGATGACAGACAATAATGAAAAAATATAACAACAAAAATTGAAGAGTAGGTTAGAAGGTAATAGCCGGGTACTGTGGCTCACACCTGTAATCCAGGCACATTGAGAGGCCAGAGGGAGAGGATTGCTTGAGCCCGGGAGTTCAAGACCAGCCTGGGCAATATAGTGGGACCCGTCTCCCCCCCCCATCCCCCCCCCACAAATTAGAAAAGTGTGGTGGGCTCAACCTCTTGGGCTCAAGCGGTCCTCTCGCCTCAGTCTTCTGAGCATCTAGGACTATTGGTTTGCACCACCATGCATGGCCAATTGATTCCTTCCTTCCTTCCCTCCCTCCCTCCCTCCCTCCTTCCCTTCCTTCCTTCCTTCGAGACAGGGTTCTCGCTATGTTGCTCAGGCTGGTCTCAAACTCCTGGGCTCAAGCAATCCTTCTGCTTCAGCCTCCCAAAGTGCTGGGATTACAGGTGTGAGCCACCATGCCTGGCCAAGGGTAGGTTTTAACTACTGCTTCACAAAAGACGTTGAGGCTCAGGGAGGTGGTCATTTGCTTGAGGTTTGAACCCAGGGCGACTGATTCTAGAACTTGGAGAATTAACCACTGCATTCTACTGTATGTCTGATACGAGAACCCCATCTTCTCACCCTCAGTCAGTTATCAAGGCCACGGTTTTCTCCTTCTTCCCCTCTGCGGACCCTTTTTTGTTCCTCTGCCTGACTCCAGCCCTGCACCCCAGCCACTGGCCATTTCTGCTTCTGCCACGCTCTTTCTCTCTCTCTCTCTCCTTCCTTTTTTCCTTCCTTCCCTCCCTTCTCTCTCTTTTTCTTTTTTTTCCTTTTCTTTTTGAGACAGAGTCTCAGTCTGTCTCCCAGGTTGGAGTCCAGTGGTGCGATCTCAGCTCACTGCAACCTCCACCTCCCCTGAATTCAACTGACTCTCCTGCCTCAGCCTCCCAAGTAGCTGGGATAACAGGTGCCTGCCACCACGCCCAGCTAAGTTTTGTATTTTTGGTAGAGATGGGGGTTTCACCACATTGGTCAGGTTGGTCTCGAACTCCTGACCTTAAGTGCTCTGTCTGCCTCAGCCTCCCAAAGTGCTGGGATTACAGGTGTGAGCCACCATGCCCAGCCTGCCACACACTTTCTTACTGGTTTTCCTCTCCTCTGCAGTTGTCCTAGGTCCTGCCTATTGTCAATCTCTTCCTGTCTTCACACTTTTTGAGAGCTCTCTCCTCCGACCTTCAGCTTCGGACTCCAAGCCTTCCTGGACCCTCCGCCTCTGCTCAGCCACCTGGGACTTTTTTGCCTTTGCTTAGATCACAAGTGTCTCCCTGGTCTCCTCTCTGTCTCCCTTGGAGACCAGCATTCCAAGTTCTCAGGCTCACCTCCTGCAGGAAGACCTCCCAGATCACTTCAACCCACAAAACCTGCTTACCTCTACCTCTTTAGAAAACATGGACCAGATGGGCACAGCGGCTGAGGCCTGTAATCTCAGCACTTTGGGAGGCCGAGGTGGGCGGATCTCCTGAGACTGGGAGTTCAAGACCAGCCAGACCAACATGGAGAAACCCCATCTCTACTAAAAATACAAAATTAGTCGGGTGTGGTGGCGCATGCCTGTAATCCCAGCTACTCCAGAGGCTGAGGCAGGAGAATAGCTTGAATCCGGGAGGCGGAGGTTGTGGTGAGCCGAGATCGCACCATTGCACTCCAGTCTGGGCAACAAGAGTGAAACTCTGTTTCCAAAAAAAAAAAAAAAAAAAAAAAAAAAAAAAAAAAAAGAAAGAAAGAAAGAAAAAGAAAAAAAAAAAAAAAAAAAATTACAAAAATTAGCCAGGCATGGTGGCATGCGCCTGTAATCCCAGCTACTTAGGAGGCTAAGGCAGGGGGACTGCTTGAACCTGGGTGGTAGAGGTTGCAGTGATCCGAGACCACACCACTGCACTCCAGCTTGGGTGACAGAGTGAGACACCATCACGAAAATAGAAAGAAAGAAAACATGGATGAAGAAGTGTGCGTGTTTTAATGAAACCACAATTTTTCAGTGTGTAAGTTTGCTCTTTTTTTTTTTGAAGATCTTCTTCACCAGGTGGTGCATGCCTTCCTCCTCAGCTCCCCTCCCTTCCCGTTCTCCTGCCTCGCCCCCGGTCTACTACGCCCCCCCCTCCCCCTAGTTTTTTTTTTTTTTAGAGGGGTTTCACCTTTCCGGATCGTCTCTCTCCCTCCTGTCCGCCCTCCGGCCTCCCAAGTGCTGGTTACAGCTTCCACCCCCCCTGCTCTTTTTTTTTCTCGGCTCACTGCAACCTCTGCCTCCCAAGTTCAAGCGATTCTTCCACCTGAGCCTCCAGAGTAGCTGGGACTATAGGTGTCCACCACTATGCCTGGCCAATTTTTGTATTTTTAGTAGAGATGGGGTTTTGCCACGTTGGCCAGATTGGTCTCGAACTCCTAACCTCAGGTGATCCACCCGCCTTGGCCTCCCAAAATGCTGGGATTACTGGTGTGAACCACCGCGCCTGGCTGAGTTTGTAGCTTTTAGAATCAGTTTGCCACCTGAAATAGTTGAGAGTTGAATATGACCTCCAAAATGGGTCATCAGAGAATCCAGCAACTGAGATTACTAGCCAGGTAATGTTGGAATAAGTAATTAAGCTCCCATGAGCCTCAGTCTTCACCTCTGTACATCAGGGACAAGGACAGTGTACCTACCTCAAGGGATGGCGTGTGAATCAATGAGTCTTAGAAAACGCACTTAGCGGCCGGGCGCGGTGGCTCAAGCCTGTAATCCCAGCACTTTGGGAGGCCGAGGCGGGCGGATCACGAGGTCAGGAGATCGAGACCATCCTGGTTAACACGGTGAAACCCCGTCTCTACTAAAAAATACAAAAAATTAGCCGGGCGCGGTGGTGGGCGCCTGTGGTCCCAGCTACTCGGGAGGCTGAGGCAGGAGAATGGCGTGAACCCGGGAGGCGGAGCTTGCAGTGAGCTGAGATCCGGCCACTGCACTCCAGCCCGGGCGACAGAGCGAGACTGTCTCAAAAAAAAAAAAAAAAAACAAACGAAAACGCACTTAGCTACAGACTAGATCTTTGGATCTCCCTCTGTCCCTGGTCTCTCAGAGGACCCTCGTGTTCCTTCCCAAGCTGCATCGAAGTGTGGTCTGCCCTGTCCACTGTGATCCCAAGAACTTCCTTTGTGTAATGGTACTGTCACAATGACTACTCAGCACCTCTAGGGGCAGCCGGGAGGAAAATTACCAGTCAGGCTTGGTGCAAATCCTGCCTCCTGAGAGCTCCAGGAACCCAGGCAAGTAAATTGACTTCTTGGAGCCTCTGGGGTTTTTTTTTTTTTTTGGTTGGTTTCGTTTTTGAAGTAGGGTCTCGCTATGTTGTCCAGGCTGGACTTGAACTCCTGGGCTCAAGCGATCCTCTCGCCTCAGCCTCGCACGTAGGTGGGTCTACAGGTGTGTGCCACTATGCCCAGCTAGAACTTAGGTTTTGTCATCTGCAAAAGGGGATTGATGATGGTAACCACTTCAGAAAGTGTCAGTGTTGAGGACTTGATGTAATAGGCTGCTGGTGTCCATTATTATTATCATCCTCTGAAATTTTTCTGTCCCTTTACCTTCTACACACCCCACACAGAATGGACCCACTCCCCTGAGTCACTGTACCTCTTAATATTATTCTAGGGCGCACAGATCTCCAAGGTGCCCTTTAAAGGGGACAGTCATCCCTCCCCTCCTCCCACAGCCAAAGACCACTGGCAATGTACTTGTGATTGAGCACATTCAAGCTTATTACTCATCAAAGAGAGAGAGACAGAGAGAGAAAGAGAGAGGGAGAGAGAGCTCGTACATGTCATAGGGCACGATGGGGGTCTCAGTAGGGAGGTGTTAGAAAGAACTTATTTATTTTTTTTTTGAGACAGAGTTTAGCTCTTGTTGCCCAGGCTGGAGTACAATGGCGTGATCTCAGCTCACTGCAACCTCCACTTCCCGGGTTCAAGTGATTCTCCCGCCTCCGCCTCCCGAGTAGCTGGGATTACAGGCATGCACCACCACGCTGGGCTAATTTTGTATTTTTAGTAGAGATGGGGTTTCTCCATGTTGGTCAGGCTGGTCTCGAGCTCCCGACCTCAGGTGATCCACCCACCTCGGCCTCCCAAAGTGCTGGGATTATAGGCATGAGCCACCACGCCCGGCCAGAAAGCACTCATTATGGGATTTGCAGTTCTGCTTGGTGTTTTGGGGGCACAGCTTAAGGAAGTGGGGGTTTGGGTGGGATGAATTTCTTGGTTGGAAATTTTACTTTCTTTTTTTGAGATAAGTAGATAAAAACAAATAAAAGCAACACACAGGTGAGGCATGGTGGCTCACATTTGTAAT